TTAACTGATCTCCAAACCTAAAAAACACTAACATCCTTTCTGCTCTGTAGCATAAGTCTCATATATACTAAAAGGAAAGACCCTGAGTGAGGTGAGCCATGAACAGCATAACCCCTAAACAGATGGCTTGTATCGTAGCAGTTAGGTCTGTTGTGGACAGAGGAGAGGAGTCCATGGATTCAGGGTCCTAAAGTCTTCACTTTCAATCCAGCTGATCTAGACTGAGGTGCTGATAGACTGGTGTTGAGTGAGAGGTCGTGCTCAACACTGTCTGGCTGAACAGTTTATAAAGTGTGCGTGACACAGATGGAGCGTGAGAGACGGGTAGAAAGCGAGCATAAAGCTGTAAATTTCAAGTGTGTGTGAGTGTGTGTTCACGTTGATAATGATGTAACACACAGTCTGAATAATGAGCTGGGCTCAGGTGGACACACACCTTTGTCTCGACACCCAGCCTTCGGCTGAAGCTTACACTAATCATGCACTCACTCACCCAGACACATGCACAAACTCGCGCTCAGACGTCACTCTTTCTCCCTCAGCAAAAAATTGATCCTGTTTTCAGCAGCTTAACGCTGCCATGTTCACAAATAGCATTTCCCATAAACACCTGACAAACACTTACATACGTTTACCTACTGTAGCTAAATGAGGGCCAATATACCCAAATCTCAACATTTTAATGCCACATAACGTCTCGGTTATACGTACGTAACCCTCGTTCCCTGATGGAGGGAACGGAGACGTTATGTCGTGATCGACATTATGGGAATTCACTTGGGAGCCTCAACCTTCTGGCACCCCTCAGGAACCTGACGATGAGATCGTGCTTTCCCAGGGACCGGCCGCCCACTGAATCGTGATGTGCTGCGATGGCAGCCACATACACTTTCAAGGTGGAGGGTGACAGCTTAGGCTCCAACCTTTCTTGCAGAAAAGAAAGCACTACTCCAATCGTGCATCTTCGGGAGTCTTCTCGGCGAGAAGAACACCCTAGCCTGAGTGATCGTGTTAACCGCCGCAGGTGACAGATCAGCTAGGTCTGCCGCGTCCCGTCCCGGAGCCACACGTGGAGGTTCCAACGGTCTGGACGTTCCCTATCTGTCGGTCACTACGAGTTATGTCGTGATCGACATTATGGTGCCCTGGAAAGCGCCACAACCTGAACCCCGCCACAACCCCATTTGTAGTGAGCCCTTACCTCCAGGGGGCACGGCACGCCTTGGGATTGGTACTCCAAGGTGACTGTGACATGCGACGTGATCGTAGACCTCCCTATCGGTTGATGTACGAAACCGCCGCAGTGTTGTCCGTGCGGACTAACACATGCTTGTCTTGCAGCAGTGGCCGCCGCCGCCGCAAGGCTAGTAGCACTGCCAGCAACTCGAGGCAGTTGATGTGCCAAAGCAGTCAAGGCCCTGTCCAGAACCCGAGGCTGCCTGCCCGTTGCATGTAGCGCACCAGCCCGTACTGGAGGCAACTGTCGTGACAACGACATCCCGAGACATTTGTTCTAAGGGCACCCCGGCCCATCCAGGGGCTGAATGAGCGGCAACACGTTGGCGTGACGGTCACACGAACTGTACCGTGGCGCCATGCCCACCTCGGGACTCTGGAGTGTAACCAGTGCTGAAGTGGTCTCATATGCAGCAATCTGAGCGGCGTGACTGCGGCTGCGGATGCCATATGCCCCAGGAGCCTCTGAAAGTATTTCAGTGGTACCACTGTCCTGCCTCTAAGGGAACTCACGGACTGGGTTCTGAGTTCAGCACAGACTGGGCACGCTCGTTGGCGAGACGCGCTACCATATTTACCGAGTCTAACTCCATACTGGAAAAAGAGATTCTCTGCGCAAGGGAGAGCTTGCTTCTTTCCTAGTTGACCCGAAGCCCCAACTGGCAGAGTGCCGGAGCACTAGGTCCCTGTGATCACACAACTGTTCTCGCACGCGGGCCATGCTCGAGATAGTTGAGGATCCTGATGCCCACTTCCCGTAGCGGGGCAAAGGCGCCCTCTGTGACCTTCATAAAGACACAGGGGGACAGGGACAGCCAGAAGGGGAGGACCCTGTACTTCCATGCCTGACCCTCAAGCGCAAACCGTAGGAACAGCCTGTGTCGAGGGCACATCGCAACACATCTTGAACGGAAGCTTGTGAAGGGCCCGATTCAAGACTCGCAGATCCAGGATTGGCCGGAGGCCACCGCCCTTTTTGGGTACAATGAAGTAAGGGCTGTAAAACCCCTGCTTCATCTCGGCTGGAGGGACCGGCTCAATTGCATCCTGTGCCAGGAGGACAGCAATCTCAGACAGCATCGCCTTCTGTCTGATCACAGCAGAACTCCCCGAGTCCCCAGAGGGACTGGCCGGAGCTGCGTGGAGAGGCAACGCGTCTCCCAACCGCAGCTTCTTGGCTGCTGGCAAAGGGGGCATCGTGGGCGAGAGTGAGGCCCTCCTCCGGGGGAAGGAGCAACGCTTCCCACATCTCTGGGTTGCCCGTGTCAGGGCCGCTTCATCGACTTCTTAGACGACTCAGCGGCCGGCTGGGACACGGGGGACGCCGCGCTCCTGCGAGAGGCTCAACGCGCTAGCCTTGATGCGAGAGCGGTCGTCAGCTTACAGCCTTGGACGGGAGACGAGGACAGTTCCTCCAAGTGGCGGCATTTGCGGGCACGAGTGCACCGAAACCGCACTCTCTGCCTGGGGAATGTCAACGTACCCCCTAGCCGCCCTGCCATCGAGGGTAGTGAGGATGGAGGCAGACGAGTGGCTTCTGGCCGTAAAAAAGGGGGCGTCCACAACTTCATCAGATCCTCATGCACCTCCGGGAAGAAAGGAACCAGGGCAGGGCATGGTCACGAGCCACGGCCCGTGCCGAGGAACCAATCATCCCACCGCGAGGGCTCGGGACTGGGAGGTGTGCACGCCTCCAGCCCGATGCTTGCAGCGGCCCGGGAAAGCACGGCCGTCAACTCTGGTTCCGATTCGGCAGCCAACACCCGAGGGGGGCCGCCCCGCTGAATCTTCATCCTCAGAGGACGATTGCCCATCCCACGATGCTTCTATCGACATCTGATCCTCTATTGGCGTGCCAAATTAAAACGCTGGACACGCCGTGAGATGGCACTGCAGAATCACCAGGGAGCCGCACAGAACAGCTGCTGCGGGAGGAGTGAGAGGTCCGTGGGGACTGGCCCGGCGGAAAGGCTCTCACTGTAACCCTCAGATCGCCCAGAGCACTAACCGATGGTTGTCTGCTCGCGGCAGAGAAGCCAGCGCGGGTAGTGACAGAGGGAGCCCCTCCCATCCCCGTGAGGAGAGAGAGGCGCGATCGCAGTGCTGCCATGGTCACACGCTCACAGTGAACGCATGAACCATCCAAAAACGCAGCTTCAGCGTGCTGAATGCCCAGACACTGAAGACAACGATCGTGGCTGTCGACAGAGGATAGGAAACGACCGCAACCAAGAGGACATGGCCGGAACGGCGTCTTTAAAAAGACGCGAACCGACTGTGATTTGCTCTTTTAGGAAATCTGCTCTTTTAGTTGAAGTGCCCAGGGGAATCGCGTATGCACGGGGAATGGCTCAGGTATGCAAAATCCACTAGCCAAATTTCATTGGCGTTTTCTCTTAAAGTCAGAGATGATTGGGCCTCCCAAGTGAATCCCCATAATGTCGATCACGACATAACTCGTAGTGACCGACAGATAGGGAACATAAAATATGTGTTTCCGATTGAAGACATCCTCATTTTGTCAGATTATTCCATTTCTGTGGACAATTTTGTCCAAGTGTAAGTCCAAGTATACTTATTGGTAAAAAAAGAATGTCCACAGACCTAATCTGGCAAAATATTCTTCCTTATTTGGTAAAACAATTCATAAATAAAGTATATAATTATATAAAGTACACACTAATTTAATTAATTAATTTTAAAAAATCATTTGTACTATATATAATTATATACTTTATTTATGAATTGACAGCTGGACAGACAGATGGGCATTCACAATCAATCCTTCTGGCTGCCCTTCATCTCCACACTTATCATCATAATGTATTAAGTGGTAATGAAGACTAATAATGACTGGGTTATATTTAATGAGTTACTCAGAACTAATTACAATTGAATGGGTTAACAATTCAGTTCTAGAGAGGCCACACGCTTTCAAGGACCCAACCAGCAGTTTATCAATACAATAAATCCAATGAGTGTCAATTTGCATTAGGAAAAGTTTTTTTTTGAGCTTTTCCAATCCCAATTTTTCACATTCCCAAAGAACTATAGGTAAAAAAAACCCAGCAAGATCGAGAGGGAAGAAGAAGTAGATGAAGAAAAAAACAGTCCTTCGTAGACACAAGAAAGAACATCAGGGCAAAAAAAAAAAAAAACACACATTGCTCTCAAGAAAGGAGTTCAAAAAATGAACATTTATAGCAATATCTAAGATAAAAGATGCCAATATGTGCTGATCCATGTGTGTGTGTATCTGTGTTTTTCTGGCTTTTCTCCTAACGGTAGCATTTTATTTCTTAGATTTATTGGCTGGTCTTTACTACCGCATCCGGAGAACTATTCACACTGACAAAACACGGTGAAATCACCTCTTTGTCTTCGTGAGAATTGGAGATAAGTTTAAAGCCTAATAATCGCTCTGAGTCTTGAAAAACATCATAAAGCAACTGCTGTAAAATTGTGCTTCAGACAGCACTATCGGAGTATTACATTTCAAAACCACTGTTCTTGTCTCATTTAATGAAGATACAGTGTTTTTTCTGCCTTCATCTTTAACTTTCAGAAGTTGCACATCTCCCTCCAAAGTCAAACGAGAAAGTTTCAGCTCATTGCACACAGACATACACAGACATATATGCACACGAGGTTCATATACTCTTCATCACTACCAAAGAAAGGCTGTTTGCTTTTTCATTTTCCAAAAAGAGACTTAAAAAAAAAAAAAAAGACAAGAAAAAAGAAAAAACATGCAACAAAAATACCTTCATCTCGTGGCCGGTTCAGTGTTGATTCATCGTGTTTTTTTGTGAGTGGACCTAGGGTTAAGACAAAAAGGAGGGAAAAAGAGAAAAGAGAAAATTCAAAAAAAGATTACTGTGGCAAGAGAAAAATCAAAAAAGAAAACAAGAAAGAGCAAAAAACAAGAAATCAGCAAGAGGTTATTGTTCTCATTCTGTTGAAGCAAAGGCAAACAACAAAAAGCATCATAAACACAGAATAACAAGAAAGACACAAATCGGCTACAACATCAAAGAAGTTTGATGCTAGTTCTGTGAATATTCTCTCTCGCCATTGTTTTGTTGCGGCTCGCAGGCCTTTTCTTTAACACCAGCTTTACTTGATACTGTTCCGACGGCTTGTTTGGATTCCGGGGAAGAAGAAAAAATCAATGTGGAGGAATCAGGAATTAACTCTGAGGTATGAAAAATAAGAATTCCCATTCCCACCCCAGTCCCCCCTCCCTCCTCCGTCGTTCCTCGTGCTCCGGTCAAGCTATCATCCGCCTCGCTTTGAAAATGTGAGAGGTGGTAGAGAAGAGGACCTGAGGGAAGGAGGGCATAACACACCAGGCACGTGTTCATGTTCTCACACAAACACGGCTCAAACACCCTCTAGGGAAACGGGAACAGAGGTTGCTGTGCTCGCACATACACACACACCGTGTTGACGCTCTTGTCTTTGAGTGTAAACTGTGGAGTTTAGCCTTTCTATACAAACACAGCACAAAAATAAAACTTTCAAATAAACCATGTCTTATTCAAAAACCCTGGAAGTGTTCTGAAACATTTATGATCAAAAATATACTCATTTCATTTAACCTTTGAAAGTCTTGATTCGAAAGACTTGAGACCACAATGCAAATCTGGGATTCAGCATCTAAAAAAACAAAACGTTTTAAAAACGAAGACATATTTTTGTTCTAATACATTCTACTGTTGGTTTATGCTAAATAGATTTTCACTAGTGGTCTCAGGTTTCTAAATTTGCAATGTAAACGAAACAAGTGCAGATAGATGGTATAAATGAGTGTAACTTCATTTTTGGTGGTCAAATATCAATTCCCATTATTATCAATGTTTAAAACATTTACATTTTTTTTGTTTGATAAATAGAAAGGTCAAAAGAAGAGCATTTATTTGAAATAGAAATCTTTTGTAACATTCTAAATATCCTTACTGTCCCTTTTGATCAATTTAATAAAACTTTGCTGAATCAAAATAGAGTCTAAAAAGAAACTAAGCAGCTGCAGATAGAAGTGGAAAAGTACTGTAAAAAGGAGTGCAACTTCATGAAACAAACCATTTTTGTCAGCGGATGCATTATAAAGATATTTTTAGACCCCTTTTAGACTTCTTTCTGTGTGAGTTGACCTGAAAATGCCTGTCAACGAGAGACAGACAGAGAGACAGAAAAGAGAGGGATAGATATAGAAAAATAATGAAGAGGTCTCTCTACTGGACATGGCTGTCCTTTCTCGATAATAAAGAGGAAAAAGAAAAGAGTGCATAGATGTGTGAGAGAAAGACAGGTGAGATCACTCTCGCTCTGGTAGAGATGGAGAGTAAAATCGGGGGACAATGTGTGTATTCGTTGACCGAGAGTAATATCATGTCAGTCAAACACACAAGAGAGGCAGTCCAGCCAAACAGGAAGTGCCATCTGCCACTGAGTTCACAGAAGCATCTGTGAGTCCACTACTGTCTCCCCTTTTCTGCGATGACAGGAGAGCACCTAATGGGGCACTTGGTGTCAGAAGGTAATCTGATTGGGTGGAAAACGAAATGACAGGATGTGGAAGCCAAATTTAATGAGATTCAGTAAAGGTTGGGCTGATTTATTGTATGTGAGCATTAAAAACGAGCAGGGAATGTTACATAAAAGTTTGAGTTTTGCCTATTCCTTGCATTATAATGCTTCCCATTTTTGTTCAGAATCATTGAAGACTCAATGCTGTGCTTAGTTTGCATCCATTTCCCACCCTTATGTAAATGAAGTTCAATAAAAATACAATGTTGGTTAAAAGATATGTATATGCATTTAGCCTTTGTACGCAATAAAGGGTGACTCATTCCTGTTATGCAACACAAGCTCATGCCCCTATATACTGTATATGATTAAAAAAAGTTTTAATTTTTATAATCTCAATTTTAATTCAATTGATTATTTATTTATTTAATGGCAAAGCCATTAAATCCAGTCTTCAGTGTCATTTGATCCTTCAGAAATGATTTGAACAAATGTGACCCTGGACCACAAAACCAGTCATAAGGGTCAATTTTTCGAAATTGAGATTTATACATCATCTGAAAGCTGAATAAATAAGCTTGATGTATGGTTTGTTAGGATAGGACAATATTTGGCCAAGATACAGCAATTTGAAAATCTGGAATCTGAGGGTGCAAAAAAATCTAAATACTAAATCACCTTTAAAGTTGTCAAAATAAAGTTCTTAGCAATGCATATTACTAATCAAAAATTAAGTTATAATATATTTACAGAAATTTACAAAATATCTTTATAGAATATCCTAATGATTTTTGGCATAAAAGAAAAATCGATAATTTTGACCCATACAATGTTTTTTTTTTTGTGGCTATTGCTAAAAATATACCCCAGCGACTTAAGACTGCTTTTGTGGTCCAGGGTCACAAATCCATTTGGTGCTCAAGTAGCATTTATTATTGTTATCAATGCTGAAAACGGTCAACATATTTGTGGAAACCATAATACTTGTTTTTCAGGATATTTTAATGAATAGGAAGTTCAAAAGAAAAGCATTTGTTTGAAATAGAATTATTTTGTAACATATATTTACCTTTAAAATGTAATGCATCCTTGCTAGATATACGTATCAATTTCTTAGACCCCAAATGTTTGAAGGCACATACACACAGCTGAGCCATTTTCCTAATTTCTTCATTATTATAATTCCTCTCTATATAGACTTATTGTCTCAGGATGGCCCTTTAACCTTCTGAAATCAATTCCATCCAAACTAAGAGGCTCATTTCTACTTTCCACTCTCTGATTTTTACCTGGATGGAGATATTGCACCCAAATTCATCCTCCTCCAATCCATTTGACCGTCGCTTGCCTCTCTCGTATTCATTTTCTTTCTACTCTGCTGCACGCCTCCCATCCAATTTTTTTTCTGATCATCTCTCCTCATCATTTCTCTCCTCATAACCTCTTTTCCCAAAGCCTACCTTCTCTCTATTCTCTTTGGTGCTTACGCAATCTATTATTTCAGCCCCAGTTCCTGGTGCTGACCTTGCTGTGCCCTCTGGCCTTAACAGAGCAGCTGACACCAGCAAACAGCTTACGTGAGAACGTGCGCACGTGATGCTCTTCTGCTTTTACACACATGCACGTATTTGTGCGAGTGTGAATGTGGTTAACGCTTTAACTGTTTTTGTTGAGATGTTTGTGGTATGAAGGTTTTTGCAAGGCAGTTTGTTTATCATTTTGTATGTGTGTGGGTGGTATAAATATGTAAAATCATGCTTTGCATGCATGCACGTGATTGCATGTGTGTCTAAGTGTGTGTACATGTGTATACATGATCGAAAGTAGATGAACGCTACGCAGGAGTTACACAAGGTCGTTGTTTTGCGTGGATGAGCTGTTCGCACACACACACACACACACACACACAGCAAGCCTCATCAGCAGATGCCAGTCGAATTACACACTCCCTCAGTGTTAGATGTCAGGGCTCGTAATCAGGCCGGCCACAGGTGTCTGTGGACCGGAACGTTCTAGCAGGAATCTACCCTCTCCTCTGATATCCCAAACGGGGGGATATGAGTTCAATCTGCTACCTGTGGCTCACCCTCTTTACAGAAATATGATTCAGAAAATCAGCTTGAAAGAGGAATGAGATAGCCAGATGGCTTCCACCTGATGTTTTCATGCCTCTCAGCTTCTCCTGAGTGGAAATGGGTAGAAATTAGAGCGGAGATAGAAAGAGAGCACCCAAGTGACTTTGATAGACTGGATATAATTGAGCTCTATTTAACAGCATTAAAGATGCCTGGCCGACCTGGTGTGAAGTGCGTTTCTATTATACGACATGGGGAGATGTAAATGAGAATTAGATTTAGCATTAGAGGCATTTTTATTAAACAGAGTATTTCCACAGTCCAGCATGGATCTATAATGAGTTGAGTTTTTTTTTCTCTCGCTTTGATAAAGTCGTGAGGAAGATTCTTGGTAGAGAAAGGAAATATGTAGCAGTTGGTATCACTGACATACAATTACATTTTTTTTATTAATATTTTGAATTATCTTTTATATTGTCCATTTTTTATTTTAGTTAAATGTTTAGTAATTTAGTTGTGTATTTTGTCATTTTTATTAGTTTTTATATGTGACCCTGGACCACAAAACCAGTCATAAGTAGCATGGGAATATTTGTAGCAATAGACAAAAATACAATGTTTGGGTCAAAATTATTGATTTTTCTTTTATGCCAAAAATCATTAGGATATTCTATAAAGATATTTTGTAAATTTCTGTAAATATATCAAAACTTAATTTTTGATTAGTAATATGAATTGCTAAGAAATTCATTTGGACAACTTTAAAGGTGATTTTCTCAATATTTAGATTTTTTTTTGCACCCTCAGATTCCAGATTTTCAAATAGTTGTATTTCAGCCAAATATTGTCCTATCCTAACAAACCATCAATGGAAAGCTTATTTATTCTTCTTTTACATGATGTATAAATCTCAATTTCAATTGAGATTTATACATAATTTTGACCTCATTTTGTGGTCCAGGGTCACATATGTGTATATAGTTTTTATTCATATTTATTTAGGGTTTAGTTGTTTCAAGTTAAACTAAGTGAAAACGAGAAATGTTAGCAACTAGATGAAAAAAAATGAGTTTCAGATTTGTATTATTTTATTTCAGTTAATTTGAATGTCATTTCAAGTAACAAAATGTTTATTTTTGTTTTATATGTTTTATTTAACTATAATAACCTCTGATAGATACAGGATAGAAAAGAGATTGATTAAAAGAGAGACA